AATTAATCATATCACAATATCCATTAGGTACTTATAATGCGTTATACGTCAACAACAAACCCTCATAATATCATAGTCCATACTCCATAGACATATAATAGTATACTTTAGAAGTTTCAAGTACCCACGAATAATATTACACAATCACAACAAAATAACTAAAATAGTTATTCTAGGTTTTTTTTTATGTATTGAATATTTTATACATTTTTACCTACAAAATAATTATTCAATTTTAAATTTGATAAATTTTGTCAATTTTTGAACTTTAAAATACTTATAAAAAAAAACTGTGACTTATGATTTTTAATATTTTTCTAATGCCATTGTAACAATATAGTAGGAGCCTTGTGTTAAATTTTCAAGCATTTTTAACCAACAAATAAAATTGTATTGATATTTTTAGAAAAAAAACTAAAAAAAATGGAAATTGAAAATGTCCGTAAACAGCTCCAAACAAGTCAAAATATATTTGGAAAATGTTCACATACCTACCTACACAATATATACGATTAAGCACAATAAAAGCATATAAGATAAAGGTTACATAACATGGATTTCTTGAATAAGAAGCCACCTGTTAGTGGCTCTTAACTTGATGTTTTTTTTTTTTTTGAAAAGGATATTTAATTTAAATTGTTGCAACTTCATTTCCTTTTGAGTCTACGTTGTGGATTTCTATGAAATGTGAAGGTATATAACTATTTTATTAGAGGGTTGGAGACTTGGAGTGATTTTCTAGTCTTTCAAAAAAGCGTTTATAGAATAGTTTTGCTTTAGCTATGACAGGTTAGACAACAGATAGATCTTGGTGGAGGCCACTGGAGGGTACGTTTTAGGAAATTAAAATAATTTTTAGAGTAAAAGTTTTTTTAGAAATGTTGTCGATAATACATGAGCTATACAATTAACCTATCACCTATAAATTATAATATACGACAACACAAGTACTATAATATTGACATTGATTACAAAATCAAGTAAGTCACTTTCCTTTTTAAAGGAACTTTCCAAGCACTGCCAGAATGAATAAAATACAAGTAGTCACAGGTCATGGGTTTTATTAAGCCATTTACAAATTACATGTAATATACCTGCGGATTTTATGATTTGTTAAGTTTTACTGTTTTAGAATTTTAGATTCTGAGCTAGATGATAAATCATGTAGGCATTTGTATATTAAAAATTAGGAATATCCCTACTACCATTTACCATCTTTAGGTACCTATATATTATTAATTGTATTCTGCACAAAGATGTTTTAATCTATTTTTTAATGGTACCCAATTCACGCATCACAGTTCAGAATTCGATTGACGATTTTGAATAATGTATAGGTAGGTATATATTAATTTCATACAAAGTTACAATTTATTACAAATATGGATTTCATCAAGTTTCAAGCCCCAAACCCTGGACTTTATCATACGCATTATACTTAATACTTATACTTTGTATACAGCTGAGCTTTTATTATATTATATCTTGATTCATGATATTTTATTATCATTAGGTTAAAATTAAAACGAATCACGGAAAGAAGCAACAGAAATAAACAAAAAAAAAACCAAATTTGTATATTTTTTATTATTGTACCATTATATCATAATATTTTAATAGACATTCTATTTTTCTAATTACAAATTTAGATTAATGATCCAATTGACCAGGTGTCTTGGTTATATTCGTGATCATATCATAAAAACTAATAAATAATAGATGAATAATTTAAATACAGAACATATTATAAACCGTTAATTATATAAGAGTGTAAAAGATATAGGTGTTTTAATTTTAATTTAATTTTGAAATAGATTTTTGTTGAATTCCATACCTATAGTTTATAATAAAAAGTTGGTTAAATAAAATAAATAAAATAAACTTTGGTTATTCAAATAAAAAAAAAATAACAAATATAACAAATAGGTACAATAATTGTACAAATTAGACAACCTCTATAAAATAAAATAGTACCATTAGTACCAATACCATGGACCTATAAAGTCCTATACTTTTCCTTATATACCTACATATAAAGATTAAAGATAATATTATAATATTATATAACATATATAAGATGTCAATCACTTTACGGTATAACAGTTTATACAGTTTACACACTTCAAACACAACAAAAAAACTATATTTTCTAAACCCCAACATGAAAAAACTACTCCTTAAACACAGTAGAAACATAATAATTAGGTACCATTAATAAAAAAAAACATATATAAAAAGGTGCTCTGTTGTACAATAGGTTACAAGTGGGTCACTATATAATGGATGGTATTAAATTTGAATTCAATAATATAATATCATTGTATAAGAAAAACGATTCTGGGATGTCAGTCTAGGTATAAGACATATTATATACTTATCTATGGTCATAAAAAAAATTTACCTATAATTGTACCTATAACCTATAATAAATTCCAAATTAATCATATCACAATATCCATTAGGTACTTATAATGCGTTATACGTCAACAACAAACCCTCATACTATCATAGTCCATACTCCATAGACATATAATAGTATACTTTAGAAGTTTCAAGTACCCACGAATAATATTACACAATCACAACAAAATAACTAAAATGGTTATTCTAGGTTTATTTTTATGTATTGAATATTTTATACATTTTTACCTACAAAATAATTATTCAATTTTAAATTTGATAAATTTTGTCCATTTTTGAACTTTAAATACTTATAAAAAAACACTGTGACTTATGATTTTTAATATTTTTCTAATGCCATTGTAACAATATAGTAGGAGCCTTGTGTTAAATTTTCAAGCATTTTTAACCAACAAATAAAATTGTATTGATATTTTTAGAAAAAAAACTAAAAAAAATGGAAATTGAAAATGTCCGTAAACAGCTCAAAACAAGTCAAAATATATTTGGAAAATGTTACGGTGTATAGAAAATGCTAATATAAACATTCAGTCAGAATGTCATGTACCTACGGTCATTTGTTTAAGAGTTGCACCAAAAACCAAAATCGATTTTTCAAAAACAGATTTTGCGTAAAAATTCCCGTTTTACCTTAATTTTTATGTTGTATTTCCCGGCGCTCGTGAAAACTACTGGGAAAGTGTTACTTTTGCCCCCCCCCCCCAATGTAACAACTAGATTCACTTTCCTATTGGAAAAGCTACTTTTGAAGAAAATCCAACCACTTTTACTGTCCTAAAACGTTTGATCTTTAAATGCTTATAAAAAAAAAACTGTGCCTATGTATTTTTACTATTTTTCAATTGATATTGTAACAATATATCAGGAGTCTTGTATTAAATTTTTACACTTTTTGGCCAAACAGATAAAACTTCATTGATATTCATACAAAAAAAAATAAAAAAAAAATGAAATATGAAATTGTTCGTAAACAGCTCAAAACAAGTTAAAATATTTTGAAAATGTTATCAAGTATAAGAATTGATAAAATAAACATTCAGTGAAATTTTCATGTATCTACAGTTATTCTTTTTTAAATTACAGCAAAATAAGAAAACCGCTACATGAGAAATCGAGTGAATATCTAATGTTGTAAAAATTTAATTTGACTGTCTTATGGACATTTTTTTTTTTATTTATAAAGGAAGATAATATTATAAGGAATCTTGTATTCAATTTGAAAATCTTAAATTTAAAAAGAATAATTTTAACGAATTCTTAACTCAAAATAATTTGCTAATTTTCGTGATTTTTCCATATTTTGTCAATTTTGAACTTTAAATGCTTATAAAAATATTGTGACTAAGGATTTTTAATATTTTTCATCTGCCTTTGAAACAATTTACTAGGAGGAATCAATACATTCATCGTTCCACGATGAATCTAAAAATGCAAAATATGTTTTTTTTTACTATACTCTAAGGGATCCGGGGGAGGAAAAGTTTGGAAAACGTTGGATTCAATGATTCTACTATATTAAGGTAAATAAAAGACAGTTATCCAAGAAAACAATATAACCTAGCCAAGGATTGTTTGAAAATATAACTAATTCAAGATAATTTATATTTTTTATAAGGTAGGCTAACCATATATATATATATTTTTTTTTAGGAAAGTATGTACAATTACTAAAACTCGCAATGGGTAATAAACTCAACGAGGCCGCATTATTGTACATAGAGCTCATAAGATCTAATATTTGTCCAAATTGGTATGGATTTATTTTACATATCACACAATATTCACTTTAAATTAAAATGCAATTGTTTTTATTAAGCAAAGTGTTTAATATTTGACAAGGTATTGTTGAACTAGAAAAAAAATGATTGTGTAAAAAATACTTTAGCACTAAGATTTTTATTTTTTATTTTAGAATTTACAATCTTTTTAATTACAGTCATTAATAAAAATAAATCAGCTTTGTTTCCCAATCATCAAAATGTATTATTATTTTATAATATTATTGTATTCAGTGATATTGATAGGAAAAATGACCCTACTGACGAGCGTTTATAATAGTATAAAATTGAATATTATTAATATAATATGTATCAATGTATACATGGAATAGAATAATTATTATTGTGCTGTACGTCAGGTTAACATTTAAGATTCAACTCAAAACATTTGATTTATTTTAGTCACTACTCAAGTAATATCTACAAAAATACAAATATTATGTAATCTAATTCTAAATAAATACTATCTTGAAAGGTACTAAAATCACAGAAGATACATTGTCATGTACCATGATCACTTCCATATTACAATTTTAAAATTTTAACATTAAATTTTTTCTTCTACGGAAAAACACTTTCCTGTATTATATTATAGTTTAACCCAGTTATCTGTGTTTGTTTAAAATTGATTTAAGTCTACTAAAACTTACTCTTAACCTAATTATTAATTTTGTAACAATACGAGTGTATACATGTATTAGTTTTTAATTCTAATGTTTATGTTCTAAAAATCATACCTATGCAATAACTTAATGCATATTGTATTCTTTCATTATTATTACTTATTAGATGTAAGGACGATTATTTATTGTGTACAATGGCTTCGTGTCGAGTTAGTGAACCAAATCGGGGATATGTCTTCTTACATAAATCGCATTTAAATGGTTTTTCACCGGTATGTATTCTTCTATGATTTACCAGACAATCAGTTCTTGTAAAAGCCTTGGGACAAAAGTCGCACTTGAACGGTTTTTCGACCTGATGAGTTAATTGATGTCGGTCCAAAGTTAGTTGATTTTTAAATGCTTTGTCACACAATTTGCACGCATAATGATTCAGTTTAAATTCTTCGTGAGTAATCTTGTGAACATTAAGTTCTTTGGGGTCATTGAAGAATTTATTACAAATATAACATGTATGATTTGTTTTTTTATGCTTATTCAGAGGTAAACGAGCTGGAAATGCTTCTCCGCATAAATCACACACGAATGGTTTTGCACCTGTGTGTTGATTTAAGTGATTAGAATAATTATAACGAGAAACAAATCTCTTTTTACATATGTTACAAACATATGGTTTAAAGTCTTTATGAATTTTTTTATGTGCATTCAAAATACCAATTGCTTTGAAATATTTGTTACAAACTTTGCATTTATAATTCTTTTCTAGGTGTCTTTTCAAATGATTACTTACATGCTTTTTACTAGCAAACTTTTTATGGCACTCGTTGCATTCAACATTTTTATTTTCAATATGTAATTTTTTATGTCTTTTCCAATCAGTTAATTGAATAAACTGATCTCCACAGATATCACATTCATAAGGCTTTTCACCTTTGTGTAGTCTTTTATGGCAATTAAAATCAAAATAAGTGCTAAAACTCTCATCACACTTAGTACATTGATATGGTTTTAAACCTTCATGCCTTTTTAAATGTTGTGTAAGAGAATTATGCTTTGAAAACGACTTGCCACATGTAACACATTTGTATGGTCTGTATCGAGGATGGAGATCCTGATGGTTCTGCAACAAATTCAACGATCTAAATTCTTCTCCACACTTTTTACACTTATGTATGTATGAGTCATGAGACAACATATGGATTTTGAAATACTTTAATTTAAGGAACTTTTTTGAACACAACGAGCATTTATATCTGTTGACAATTTGATGTAAAAACATGTGAGCTTCTAAATTAAATTTGGCATGAAAAAATTTATTACAAATGTTACACTGGTATGGTCTCTGACCTTTATGTAATCGTTGATGAGCAGCAAAGTGATATAAATTTATATATGTTTTTAGACAAATATCACATTTGTATGGTCTGTCTGTTTTTTTATTACTCTGCGCACTTAGATATCTCTCAAAGCTCTTGAGTGTATAAAACTCATTGTAACATTCTTCACATTCAAAATAAAATGATGTTCTTGGATGTTCTTGGATGCTAACAGGATATTTACAAGAAGTCGGACTACCAATGTACTTGCAACAGTTGATACATTGATCGATATGAGGATTTAGATGATCTATAATACTTGGACGATCATGAAATTGTAAACTGCATTTTGCGCAATTATACATTTCATCATTTTTATATTCTTTTTCAATTCCAATTTCCATTTCGTGTTCAGTGGGATTGGGATTGTTACAATTTTCTATTGGATCGGTAGCATGAGCCATTTCAATTTCAGTTTCGCTGTCAAACACACAATCATTAAATACTGTTTCATCTTGTTCAGTTTCAATTATTGTATTGGTTTCGTTATTAACTACAACAGTCCTGGAAATAAAATAATTTTAACAAATAAACTATATGATCAAATAATAAAAAAAGTTAATTGTAAATAACGAAAAAAAATTAAATTATCATTGTGCATACCATAAATTACTATTACTATCACCAACATCATTGCACTCTTGAGTAAATTGATTTTCAAGCAATTTTATATTATTGTCTTTATGAACCATCAAATGTGTTTTAAGACCATTCAATTCAAAAAACTGCTCACCGCAAGTCATACAATTAAACTTCTTGATATTTGCATGAAGTGATTTGTGAACTTCTAAGTTGTTTTTGTCTTGAAAACTCTTATTACATATGTTGTACTGGTATTCCTTTTCACGATTGTCCATCTGTCCACCAACAGTGGGATTAGGATTGTTACAATTTTCTATTGGATCGGTAGCATGAACCATTTCAATTTCAATTTTGCTTTCAAACACACAATCGTTAAATACTGTTTCATCTTTTTCAGTTTTAATTATTGAATTGGTTTCTTTATTAACACTAACATTCCTGGAAATAAAATAATTTTGACAAATAAACTATATGATCAAATAATAATAAAATTATTTACCGAAAATTATTGTTTTTATGTTTATTTTTGTCAATATTGTATCCAATATCAGTAAATTCTTCTTCATTGTTGTCTTCCATCTCAATTTTAATATTTTTATGTTGTAGATCTATATGTTTCTCCATTATATTTTTAAACTGAAACATACATATAAATACAGTATAAGTAGGTTTTTGGAAACATTTAAGATAGAACTTCTTAATATAACATATATTTTAATTCTTAATGAAGAGTACAGATTTTGTGGTTCTATAAGTAATATAATAAAAGAAATAAAAATGTAAACCATAAAATGTGTAAGAATGTAGAAGCACAGACTGTTTTAGTTGTATTTTATTTAAATTATAAAAGTACACAAGTACAAAGACATGAGACTATGAGAGAAGATAAAACGTGACATTACTTCAGTAAGTAAGTATTATATAATTATTTATTTTAATTTATTATGTGTACAATTATCTTATGATTATATCATTATAATTATTAATATATTATTATGTAATCGGTATCGAAGCACAGCGCGATAGCCGTCTTGGAAAATAAACAGTCCTAATTAGATCGTACTCGTCTATAGTCGTTTTGATGATTGCCGCTCACCTTGTCATGTTTTGCATAAATAAGCACAAACATAACATTTGGTAAGTCTATCAGTTAGTTTAATTTGAACTTTATCTGGAAATTTACCAATCCCTTCAAATACATCAATATTTTTCTCTATAAATTCTTTCATTTGATTATTAGTAGTCAAAGAGTTTATGACACTAATTTCTGGCATTTTATACTGCATACTCATACAAGCTTCATAGCTTAATAACGGTAGTCCCTCCTATTCTACAACCTCAAACAGCCTATATAACTTTATATTATTATTTTCTAACTCTAATGTCACTCAGCCTTTAGATTTAGTTATGTACCCTCCAAATGATTTAATTGTTACATTGCTTTCACTGGGGCTCTTTAAGAACAGGTAAATACAGCCACAATTTTCTTTCCAATTGGAATTAATACAGAATTAATACAAATTATACAAATATACTTATTTCTCCTTTTCTGCATTTATTTCTAAAATGATTTTTTAAAACACATTGATTACATATTTTACCATACGCAGGACAATCATTCACTTTATATGACCTACCACACCTTGAACAATCATTAATACATTTTATATTTTTTTCTTTAAAATAGGACTGAGCCCTTGCTTTACAATTACAGTGATTATTTACCTTTCCATCACCTTTTCCATTTGACTGCTTATGTTGAGTTGGTTTTCGAAAATTAGACTTGACTCCTCTGCTATACTGATTTGACCCCTTATGTTGCTCTGCCTCAATGTTGAGAAGTTTTTTTGTGTTTTCCTGGATAAGTTTACGATTGACTTTAGACTCTTCCACTATTTGACAGTGCTTAACAGTTTTTTCTAAAGTTAATTCGTCTCGCAATAACCTTGCTTGTAATTCTTTATCAGATATTCCCAGAATGATTTGAATTTTTAATAATTTGTCACAGGTATTAAGCTCACATGACTTAACCAATTCTCGAAGATCCGCATAATACTTATTAAATGGCTCACCATCGAGTTGTTTCCGTGTAAAAAATTTGTATTGTTGCATAGTTTCATTACGTCTTGGCGGTATGCAATAAGCCTCCAACGCTTTCAAAATTTCAAATACAGTTATACTGGGAATTTTGAGAGTGTTGTAAATTTTTAAACAATCCGACCCCAAAAGGTCTAATAATATTGCCACTTGCGTAGCTTCCTCTTTTGAATGACATTCAGTTGCATTAAAATACATTTGTAGTTGATATCTGAAATTTCGAAAATTTTCAACCAAGTTACCCGTCATCTTCAGTGGGTCTGGTTTGTTGAACTCCATAAATAATTTATTCTCTCGACGTCCTGCGTAAATTAAAAATTATAGATATCAAACGAGGTTTATTATTTTATTTAAATTATAAAAGTACACAAGTACAAAGACATGAGACTATGAGAGGAAAAACGTGACAATGTGACATAAGATTATTTATTGAGAAAAACAACAGTTAATAATTAACCTAAAATCCTTAAAATCCTTCCTTCCTTCCTATACTATAAAATGACAAGGAAATCAGCTGTCTATAGTGTACCAATGGAAAGGAAAACGCAGGCTATAGTGAAACCGTGGCGTTGAACACCGCTCCGTTTCCCCAGCCCGCCGACCATGTCCCTTCGATTCCTTATAGCGCGACCAATCGCGTACCTTCGCAGCGGCGGCAGTCGGTTTTAAAACGTTTTTCGTTATCACCTCTTTTCCTATCATTTCGCCGATTTTTGAAATTTTCAAATTAGCTGTTTTTACACGATTTCGACCCTTTCCGTCCTTTTTTATACTTAATTCGAAGCCGCCGGTGTGCGGTTTATATTCGTGCGCCGTTCGAAGCGGTCGCAATGTCGATCGAAAAATACACTCCCGACCGGACTTTATTGCCGATTTTTTCCTTTTCTCCCACCGTTTCGTCTATTCGCACGCCGTTTGTGCCCGAATCGTGTAGTCCACGTCTTTTTAAAGCCGTTTATATGGGCTTTTCCCCCGAAATCGGTTCGTTCGCCTCGCAATCGCGTTTAGAAATTACGCCGGCGACCGACCTACCGTACGCGTATATAATAATAATAATAATAATAATTTATTTACAGAAATAAATTCCAATTACAAAAATATTGTAGTGACAGTTTGTGTTAAGTGCACATAATATGGGTTACAACTTAAAAGTAATGTGATTACAAATAACATAAAACAGAACAAAATAGAGAAAAGAACAAAAGAAAAAAAAAGTATATGTATACAAATATTAAATATAAAATAACGATTTAAATTTAAAGATATTATATAAAAGCAGCATAATATGAAAAAATAATTATATTGAGAGTATAGTGGTTATAAATGTAGGTAGAAGAAATAAAAAGGGGGAAAATATGATATAGAAAACAGAGAAATAGAAGAGGATAAGAGAAGATTAGATCAAATACTAGACAAATTAAATAAGGTAGTTGTTTACGCCCGAGAGTTTAACCGTAACAGTCGAAGGACCACTCGGTGATGCCCGAGAACAATTTGTTGATCAGGAGAGTGTTAGACGTTGCCTGTATCACTCCTATCGCCTACTATTGTGGTTGATAGGCAACCTTAGGTGCTTTCGCCTGATAGTTGGTGGGTAGGCAATTCTACGCACGACGACGACAATGACGAGGATGGGAAAGACCTATTTGTAGGAGTGAGGATGGTGCAGGTTAGTTATGGGGAGGGGGTCTCTGTGGCCGATTCGGTTTGGTGCAATGACCACAGAGCTCACAACAATAGGGATAAAACTTAAAACTACCTTAACCCTACTGCAGTCTTGAGATGACCCACTGGATTAACGCTGTTGGCATTTGTCGACCTGGACGACCTGGGGCGGCCTCTCACACAACGTACAGACCTACGTTGCTGGCGGACTTACGCGCGGAATCTGACGGCACCGACGGTGACAACAACGAGCTGCCAAAGATGATGACGAGAGAGATAATGACAAATTAGACTTACGAATTTTTGTCGAAGATCGTATTTTTTATTGTAATAAATATAATGAAATTATTTTGTTCTCGCTTTACTAGCGGACCACACACACCATTCACGGATCGCTATACTAGCAGATCACAACAAATAATATTTATATGAATAATAATAATAATAATAATGATCGCTATATGAGCGGATCACACAGTATAAAAAACAAACAAAACGTATGGACGCTGTAATAGCGGACCAAAAAACACGAATAATAATTGAATAATTGAAATAATAACAATACAAAAAAAAAAAGGGCGTTGGCCGCAACAATAATAATAACAAAAACAAAAGTTTTATCTCATAGAGATAACATTGACAACAGTTGTCTGAGGCAAAAGGCCGACAGATAATTTTTATAAGAAAAACAAAGAGAGTATATACAATATGAAGTATAACAATCGTACAATTATTATAATTTGCATAATCGTTGCTCTATAGTAACGGCAAGAGATACTGGATGAGTGGACGGAAGAGGAGGGAAGATGTCGCCGTCGCGCAGATTAGCGTCCCGCGATAAGCAATAATTGCTTGGCGCGAACAGTAGTGTTAAATAAATCTAAGTCTTTAGTTGAATTAGCTGCTGACATAAGTATATTTTCAGGGGTACCTATATAGCATATAGTTTGAAGAGAAAGAGGAAAGATAAAAAGTGGAATTATTTCTGGAATTAGATTGGTTTACTCTAAAATTTAAACGTTCGATTATTTCGGGACAATCTATAATATTATGTAATAATTTATATAAAAATTTACAGTTTAAGATAATAAATCTTTTATTTAGGGGCATTATTTTAAAGAGATTACAAATGGTTTCATATCCAGAATGAGGAGTTCTTATATAATGGTATTTATATGATAGGTATCTTAAAAAGTTATTTTGTACAGAAGATAGACTATGGTTTTGGATAATAATATATTATATATAGATATATAGATAATAATATATTATATATAGATATATAGATAATAATATATTATATATATATATATATATAGATAATAATATATTATATATATATATATATATAGATAATAATATATTATATATATAAGTGTATAATTTAATTTTTCCCTATGATGTAATAATTATTAACGGAAAACGCTTTTCACACGCCCCGTTAAATACATATGTATATGGGAGATGCGCGTATTGCAAGCGAATTATATGCGATTACATCGATGTACATCGAATATATCGGTTTACGTCGCTCCGTAGACGCACGGCTTGAGTGTTGATGTTCACATCTCAAACTGTGTCCAAGTAGGTTAGGCGTTAGGTAGGAAACACGTAGGTCCCGGGTTCGAATCCGTCGTACGCTGCCCGAGCGTCGAATCCGACATTGCCATAAGGTCTACACGGCCGCCCGGAACCTGACTTTTTTTGCATTTTTTTTTTCACGTTATTTTTCATATAAATTAAATAATAAAATAATAATACAGGAACATATCGTACATTATTATTATTTAAAGTCATTATCATATTATATCACACAATAAATAGGTACATATTATATTTGTTTTGTTAGGAATTATTATAATTGCATATTTTTTCAAAAAGTCGATGATTGTTATATAAATATAGTTTGTATTTTATTTCGGATTGCCTACCTAGGTGGCTAAATTGAAAGTTAATCGATTTTGACTTGAGATGACTGACTTGCTAGACACTCCAACATGGTTGTCGACTTTACACTTTTTACATAAGGAATGGCACCGGACATGCGAAGCCACATACCACTCTATGTGATATATCTACTATATATAGGTGCAGTGGCGACAGTGGCGTATATAGGGGGGAGGCCCCCTAGGCCAGAGCCCATAGTGAAATTGTAGGTTCAATTACTTAAAGAATTTCATGTATATCTATACTGTTTACAGTTTTTCACCATGATTAATTTAGACAGTTGATTAAAATCGTTTTTGAGGAATCCACAAAGAAATAATTGTCAGGACTTGTTTTGATGACTTTGATGTTAAATTCACAGTTAGATAACATTAAAATATATATATATAAATGAAACTGTCAATATTTTTAAAAAAAAAATTAAGAACTTAATTTTACATAATTATAAAATTAAATTGTGCAATTTTTATTTGTATTGTATATGTCATAAATCATAATTATAACCACCCAGCTCCCAGAAATATGTATAGTATTATGGCTATGTTAGTCGGGCTATGCTTGGATAGTGATAGTGATAAATTGCCCAAATTGGCCCATAGTGAAAATAATTTGTATATACGCCACTGTATAGGTGATAGACGGATTGCTCATTTTAGTTTCGTCTTAAACGGTGATGATTGACTTGACAGACACTTTAACAGTTTAACATGCAGGTTTTTGCATTTTTTTTTTTAAATTAATATATAATATACATTATAGGTAATGTTTATATGTATTGTATTGGCTAATATAATAGTATGTATCTAACTATCTACCTATATGTTAATTTTTTTTAGGAATTATAATTGCACATTTCTCAAAGTGTTCATTGTTATATTATATCACACAATAAATACATATCATATTTGTTTGTATGTATATTGTATATAGTTTGAATTTTTGGTAAATTATTTCGTAAGTTGTGTGATAGGGTTTTTACTTAACTAACTTACTTGCTAGACGCTCAAACTTTTAACATTCCCGCCAAAGCGTCTAGCCTTATCTCCAATCCATATCACTAATCCTTATCACAAATTCTAAATTTTCGTCTTACAACATTTGCGACTTTTATAATTCATTGTCTCCAAAATCGGTACCCACTCCCAGTGAGTCCAACGAGCCCCGAGTTACACTTAGAGCTAGTATTAACCTAAAATATAATTCAATAAAACAAGAATAATAATAATAGTAATAGTAGGAGACAGTGTATACAACTGTCACATAGACTATATAGAAAAATACTAGTGTACTTAAAGATGATATAATAAATTCTGTGGTAACAAATTACCTTATAGGTAGTAGGTACCTACAATAACCTGTTGTATAAATTAATTGATTATTTAGGGTACTCGATTTCTGCGTTGTGTTTTAGTAAAACGTCAGCGTTAGGCGGCGATTTAAACCCACATTTCGGGTAAACGAATGAGCTCAATTCTTAATAAAATATTAGATTATATTATACAAATAGCATCGATACACTATACAATATATTTAGTACAGTATATTTAATCAATACTAAAAGTACCAATGTATATTTAATTTATTTAACTTGAGTTCATTTTTGTATCTACCTATATTTTTTAAATTTTGAACAGCTATCCCAGGGGGCAGAGAGAATCGATTCATCA